CGCTTCGTCAGTTTCATCTAGCATATCCATGTGATGCTAATTAAGTTTACTAATGCAGTTGAAGCCCCGGTAAACAAATTGGCTCGAGGAGCATTTATGATGGCTGTTATTTACCATTTCAGACTGATATTTGCAAATTCCACTCATGTTTAGTACATGAAGATTCGTAGAAAAAATATAAACGTTGGACTCTGTGGTCGATTCTGTGTTAAGGTAAGGCATGTTATTTGCAATTATGTGTTGTGGCTGGGTTGTTATGGGTCTGCGTGACTCTCGATGTCTTAGGCCTAATTGAACGGAGGAATTATGGTGTTCTTCTGTAGCCTGACGACGAGTAACTTTAACCGTTGTTCATGTGAACTCAAAGACAGCCTGATGCTTTGTTTATAGACTATTTGTGGGTGGCTGTTTGTTGTTTCACCTATCAATTCTTGTCGATAAAGTATAATAGGGTAAATCCTGTATAGTGATTTATCCTATATAGTGCTTGCATAAAGCAAGTAGTGCATACACTTGTAACTTAGCTGTTATATATCTTTGTAAGTCATTGTAAGCCCTCTTTTGAGGCACGCGCAAGCGCACTCATATATTTCTGAGAAGTACATAAAGCCCATTTCTGAGAAGTACATAAAAAGTAGACTAAAAGTATACTTTCCTATATTTTAGTTTAGAAAACTTATTTTTCGTAAGGGTATATTTGCCAAAATGCACAGCTACAGTACACTGCGTAAAATATTGTAGCCCACAATGCAATGCACTTAAATGGCTTTTCATGTTTACACTGACAAATTACTCAGAATACATATGTTGCACAAGTAGAATGAGCAGTATGCTATTCTGAATTCAGCCATTGTATTTCTAAGATGCAACAATGCATCATACTACAGTTTAAAACATTTATTGGTGGATAATGCATATTGATTATGCACACAATAATTTTAGAGATAGTATGTGAAACAGTATGCAGTAGTGCAGTAGGCTAGTATAGAGTACGCTAGCAGTAGAGTTCTGCTCTTCAGTTCTCTATGAATCTGTTTTGAATCTGACTAAACCTTGGTTCCAGACCGAGTTGGGGCTTCATGTCTCAAACCCTTCAAAAATCCCACCGTTATCCCCCAAAAACCACCCGCTCCTGCTCCAGGAATATCCTCATATTCCACTGAGCTCTGGGGACCATCTGTCTTCACTTCCATCTGCCAAAACATCCATGCACATAAATACTTCCTCCAATCTGTTTTCATCTGATTTTGCAATATATTTTATATTACATCACAGTGTTTTAACCATTGAAATGTATAATTCCTTCATTAAATGACATCAAGTTTTTTATATATTTTTTATTTTTTTGTAGATTATATGGTTGTAGAAAGATGTGCTGACTTGTCTCAAGCCATCTCGGATGGCTTGAGGTTTTCTTGAATATTACAGGAATAACAAAAGTATGAGAAGGGAGACTGTGAAGGTACTAAATTGGGTCAATTGAGGGAAGAGGGAAAGAAATTGCATAACATTTGCTAAAACACCATAATTTTTAATTTTTTCCTCTTCAATGTGCAATATTTGTGAAATGCATTAAAGGGGTCATATGATGCGATTTCAATTTTTCCTTTCTCTTTGGAGTGTTACAAGCTCTTGGTGCATAAAGAAGATCTGTAAAGTTGCAAACACTAAAGTCTCAAAACCAAAGAGATATTCTTTATAAAAGTTAAGCGTTAACCACACCCTCCTAAAACGGCTCGTTCTAACACGCCCACACATTTCTACCTCACTAGCAGACAGAGTTTTATGTTTACGCGGCGCGATGCGGCGCGATGCAACGCAATGCATAAAAAGACGGTATATATTATAATCAGTAATTATGTACCCACTGGATGCAACAAATGCCTCGTTTGTAATGGGTATTAATGTTTTTGTCTCGTCGCTCCGGCCGGGAGACGGCATCAACAGTATGTGAGGGGCGTAACATTTCCGTCTCACGCTTGAGGTATTCGGCCAATCACAATGCACTGGATAGCTGGCCAATCACAGCACACCTCGCTTTTTCAGACCGATGAGCTTTGTAAAAATCGACGCGTTTCAAAAAGGCGGGGCATAGAGGAGAAACAATAATGTACAGTATGTGGAAAATAATGTGTTTTTTGAACTTTAAACCGCATAAACACATTTCATTACACCAAATACACAAAATAATGTTCTTTTTAGCAGCAACATATGACCCCTTTAAACAAGCGAAACCCCTTTTAATTAAATGCAATAGAGGCTATGCAAATACTTGATTCTGTATAACGTTACACATAGTAGGCTATAGATACATACACTTACATATTTTAATTTATAAATTAATTATACATTATTTTTGACGGGAATGAAACGAGGCTGGAAAGGACTTGAGTACAGGGCGTTAAATGGATTGTTCAGTTGACGAAACATATTTCTGAAAAACAAAAACCTTTCAGTAGACAAAATCTCCATAAAACAGTTTTAAAGTTGCGAGTTGTGAAAATTACATGAGCTAGGACCTTAAATTCAATGGCGTCTAACCTGCTTAAAGCGGCATTGGGACTTCTCAGACTGTACTATCCATATAAACGTTAATATATAATTTTACTAAGAAATAGTAAAATTTTCCAGATTCAGCAAGATTTACAACCACATCCGATGGATCAAGATTCAGCTTCTGCATTAGAAAGTGATTGTTTATTGACATTCGTTAACAGTGTTATGCTGTAGTTACAGAGCTCAGCCTGAGAGAGGCGCTATAAGTGTCCTCAATACACAATTCAAAACATTTGTACATTTTCCGCTTTTATTCTCTTCCATACACATAGATTAAAGTGTAAAAAGACACAAGCAGGCTAGTGTATGTGTCCGAGGTGGAAGCAGGAGCCAAACCCTTCTGCATCTCCCAGAATGCCATGTTTATAGAGAGGCAGTATGTTCCAGAACCTTCTCCTCATTTCTCTCACATTGTCAAATGGCTGCCAGTGTCTTGACAAATGAAGAAACGTCCTCCACAAGCGCCAAAGAGTAGCATTTCTTACAATTCCAACCAAATATGCATAGTAATATACATTTGAGAAAACTAACATTATGCAAATAGTAAGTATGAAGACATGTTTTTTAAAAAAAAGATGAATTGTTGGCTGTTGAATTGATTCATCACATTTTAAAATTGAGATTTTACATGGACCGTTCAAGCAAGTGTGTACACGTGTGATATACAGACATTTTATAATTTCTTAATTGGGATAAATAATACAAATTCACTTTCTACATTCCTAATATCTTAAGCTGAGTGTTGTTCATTTTGAGCTGCAATTGTTTTTAGCAGAATTACATTTCAGACACGATCAAAAGCCGTGATTGCTTGTTCTTCATCACCACCACATTAAAAAGACAGTTCACTCAAAAATGAAAACTTCAGGAAAACATAATAATTGAATCTGTATGACTTTCCCACTCTTCTGCATATTCAAACAAAGTTTTTTTTAGGGGTGAATGTTCCCATTTAGAAAATATTAGGAGACAAAAGTAAAAGACCGATTCATCAAGTGTGGATTAGACAGAAACACATGCACCTTTAAATAGCATCATGTTAAGACAATTTATGAGCATCTTAATGTATAATACACACATTCACATCATCTTAAAATGTAAACATGAGCAATAATCAAAACTTCAGCACAGTAATCGAATCTAGTCGTCAATAAACCAACCACAGAACGAACAACTCTGACATTTCAAAGAACCGTGTCCTGACATTTAAACCAATTTCCTTTTTGAATAAATGACCCATTGCTCTTCAAATACACAAACAGCTGAAACGCTCTGAAGAACATGACGTGTGGTACACAATTTTTACTATTTAGTCTGTCATTTCTTTCAATCCCCTCACCAATTTAAGCCATAAAATGACATCATATAAATAGAAAAGCAAAAACACATTTCATAAACGTTAGGGAAAGCGAGTGCATATTATGGCATCAGGAAATTTTAAGTAAATTTTAAGCGAGACAGTGAGAGATGGCGATGCGACAAAGTTTAGACAAACATTTTAACTTTATGCAAATGAGCAACAAATGTGATGCAGCAACTGCCAATGGGAGCGCAGACAGTAACACCCATGATCTGATTTTGAAAACTGAAATAAATACATAAAAATACAATAAATAAAAACAAAGTATCATTCCATTGTAACACTAAAAATTAACATGCTCAAGGAAACAGTTTATATAAACTGCAGTAGTGCATAAAGAATCACATGAAACTGCTCATTATGAGCATTTACTTCCGAGATGTCTTCATTCCTATTGGCAGTGCATTGCATTACTCATTTACATAAAGTACACGCCCACATCGCATCATCACTGGTTGTTGTTGCTCCTGTTGGCTCAAATCACTATAAATCGCCGTTACCATGAATGCACCTTTACACAGTGTCTTATCTAAACGCAACGAACAAGATATTTTCAGTTCTTTGTTTTTATGTTTTGTTACGCTGGATGGCTCCGCCCACAGTGCAATCTCATTGGTTTAAAATCCCGCTCCACACAGCTGTATAATAAACATGAAATATATTCTGATTGGATTTGTTGTGTTTCGCCATTTTAGTAAACATCACATGTTGGGTTTTTAAACCCAAATACGTAAATTCATTGAAATTCATTCAAACATTACAAACAAGACAGCATGAAGCCTTAAACATCCTTAAACATGTCTGATGCTTTAATGATTTTAATATTTAAATGTATTGATTAGTACAAATGAATAAATCAAAAGTGTCAAATCAAGGCTCAGGCTTGCCATTTCCACTTTGACTCCTGCGAAGTGACGTCACTTCCTGTGATGATGCCGTGTTCGGTGAGATTACGGCACCTCGATCAGATATTTTCTGTGAACATATTTGGTTTTAACTTTACAGTTCTTGTCAATGTGAAAATGCACCAACAGAAAGGATGCTGGCCCTGACGGTTTGCGGTGAAATGATGATGTGTGAACTGAGAGCGACTCCAGCGGAGGTCGAGGTCCTGAGTGTTAAAGCAGGTTGAAGGCTTCTCTTTCACTATTGCATACCCGTTACACACTGTCCACCCGCGCAGGTGACTGATGCATGCAGTGGTGTCCTGAACAAACCAAAGAAACGGACACAGGACACGATCCGCGCTAGTAGATAATTACATACGGTGTACATGGAAAGGTCACCGGGAGGAAGGTGTTTTATGCGTCAAGTCCTCACTCAAGGCCAAAAGTGCTGGTCTCTTCCACAGCAATCAGCAGTTTCTCGTACAACATGGTGTAGGATGGATACGGCGGAAGATCCAGACGGTTAAAGCATGTGTGCGCCCTGAGAAACCAGACATGACACATCAGCAGCCTGACTGACAGTCTCATGTGGATTGGCCTCGAGTCTCTAAAATCAAGACCAATCTGTTTTCAGGTCTGGTCATGTTTTTATCATTGATGACAACAACGTCAAAAAAAAAAAAAAAGTTTATATTATTAATGTTTATCTTAAATTATATTAATAAATACTATAAAATTTTAATTATTTATATTCTTATATTATTAATGTTAATATTATTATATTAAAATATTTTATATATGGTTTATTATATATTATAAATTTTAAGTTATTTAAATTATTATGTAATGTTCATTTTAAATAAACAATATGATTTAAAATTAACATTAAATGATAATATAAAATTTTTTTTAAATTTATTAATATTATTAAAAGAGTTAATGTTAATTTTAAACGATTTATATTAATTACTGTTCATTTTAGAATTATTTATATTGTTAATTTTGATTTGCTAGAGTTTGCACTAATGCTTAACCACGGAAAACAAAATTTTATATTAAAAAAAAGCAAATATCATGAAGGCGAATATTTTTCAGACTCTTGACAAATACATTAAAAAAGTGCAAGTCAAACCATTTCAAAGTAAAATAAATCTGGAATATATTATAAAAATAAAATAGCAAGAGCAATATATATTTTTATATCTTTTACACATTTTTGTTGCCTATTTGAATTCTTTTTTTCATGACTGAAAATTCAAAGGACAGGTTTATAATTTTGATAATTTTTCATATCTTATTTCATTTGGACGGAAAATGAAAAAAAAAATCATAAAATTAAAGTAAAATGATTTGCAAACGCTATTTATCTTAATATTGCAGAAGGAGTTTGGAAGAAACATTTGTAGAACAATCTAATGCTTGCATTCCTTAGAGGGCCTGTATCTTTCATTATTGATATTCTCTGAATTCATGTTAAACATTTCCCACACCAGCTCAAATCAACATCAGAATTGTGAAAGATGAAAGAGTGTGTCACCGTACCTCGGGAGCGATGTGATCTTGCCCCATTTCTCGATGCAGAAGCGTCGCAGGCCGTTGCTCCCGCGCAGCGCGGTGAAGCCCTCGTACGGCACGCTGGAGGTGCCCGTCACAAACTGCAGCAGACGCAGTCTCTGTTCATTATTGAAGCGCTCCACCGCACCCCAGAACCACCGGATCACAATATGCCCATCATGATAACCTGACGACAACCAGGAGAGAGTTCAAATACAACTAGAATTTTTCACTTTTCCCATAGAAGCATCTCTGACAGCACTGAAAATCACTGACCCGCTTATTCATTCACTGAAATGTAGGAAATTATATGATGAAAACATAAATAAAATATATAAAATATAATGAATTCAAGGTCTTGAAATGACAATGCAATATAATGAGAAAAAGAATCATGATTCAATATATACTTGTATCTTTCAACATATGGATTTTATTGGCACGGCCATAATATCAAGTGTCTTTATGTTGTATGTATTTTTGTATTGGTGTGTATGTAGGTTTAAGTATGTCCTCTCACCTCCTCTGTACTCTGTGTTGTTTCTCCAGTCATTTAAATCAATCTCTGCTGTTCCTGCAATAACCAGCTCCAGCTCTCTGGCATCAAACACAGACACCAGACGGGAGTCCACCACCTACACACACACACACACACACACAGAGGTCAGAGGTTAAATGAAGGCTACTTGGACAGCACTTAACAGTAAACGGGCAGAGAGTAAATCAGATGAGAAGCATGTTTACCTCGTAAAAGCCCCGGACCAGAGCCTGCGTCTGCTGGACGACACCGCGCTCCACCCTCCACTTCACCATCCGCTCGATATACTCCTTCTTATTCTTCTCTGTCACCTGCAAGTTTGTCCCGCCAGACTTCAGCTCCCGCTCAGTCACCTGACGTAAAGATATTTTTTGATTAATTCACTCCACTTTCCCTAATTTTTATAAACCACAGCAATCTTTAGGCAGCTGTTTATTACAAAATAGAAACAAATTTATGCTATTATTGATGCCCAAAAAATGTAATATATTTAATATTACAATAGAATTAGAATTATATAAAAAAATTTGTGTATATATATATATATATACACAGTGTTGGGGGTAACGCATTACAAGTAATGCGAGTTACATAATCAGATTACTTTTTTCAAGTAACTAGTAAAGTAACGCATTACTTTTTAATTTACAAGAGAATATCTGAGTTACTTTTTCAAATAAGTAACACAAGTTACTTTTTTTTCCAATTTATTGATTTGAAATGTCTTCTTCTGCATTCTACTCTACGGACGTAAATTTACTTTCCCTTCAGCCTGAGGCTTATTCATTTCATCTTTCCCCAACACTGTAATATATATATATACACACACATACATACATACATACATATATATATATATATATATATATACACACACACATATATTAAGGCAGGATTAGTTTCTCCCACCTGTCCGAACACTTCCTCATTGACAGTGAAGGTGAGATCCAGCACATCTGTGATGTCATTGTCCTTCATCCACTGTAAGCTCTGATGAAACTCCTCATCCAGGTACTCCAGATCACTGAGATCCGTGGCTCTGCAGACAGGGTAACAATGAACATGTTTCTTTTACAGTTCATACTTTACAGGATATTGTATTCTGATAAGTGTTAGACTGATAGATTGGTCTGGCCAACAAATCGACTGATATTTGGGATTACTTCAAGATTACTAGGGCCGCTTAATTGATTAACAGATGTCCTTTGTTTAATTCTTTTTTTCTGTTCATAACATATACACATATTTTTGAATTTTAAGTAAACAATGTGTGAAAATTAATTATTTTTATTAAAATTAAAATTAAAAATGATTAATTATTAAACATTAATTTAAGCCATTTAATTTCATTCATGTCTCATTTTGTTCTTGTAATATTGCAATAGAGTAAATTTAGGTACATTTTTGACATTGAGATAGCTGTCAAAAACAACTGAATTTTCTGTAATTATCCATTGATCGTATCTAGATATCTGCTTCCTATTGGCTACTGAAAATCCCATTTCGGTCAGTTACTTATTTGCGAGCACACATAAACAGTTGTTCAAAAGCTTGGGGTCAGTCAATACATTTATTCAACAAGGATGTATTAAATTATTATTAAAAAAGTAAGTGCTGTTCTTTTAAACGTTCTATTAATTCAAAATATCCTGAAAAAAAATTATCACTGTTTTCATGAAAATATGAAAACACAACTGTTTTCAGCATTAATAACATGTGACCCTGGACCACAAAACCAGTCATAAGGGTCCATTTTTTGTTATGATAGGACAATATTTGGCCGAGATACAACTATTTGAAAATCTGGAATCTGAGGGTGCAAAAAAATCTAAATATTGAGAAAATTGTCTTTAAAGTTGTGCAAATGAAGTCCCTTCTGACGATCAATCTAAAAAACAACACGAAGTGAGAACTGTAGGACATTTATCTGGCAGATACTATTTTTTAGCATTTGTTAACATATTTAGTATTTGCTCAGTACACATTACAGTACATATGCATACATTAACATTCAAAAGTTTTTGTAAATTGAAGTGAATACTTTGATCCATCAAGGACACATACATTAATAAGGTTCAAAATATTTGTATTTCAAATAAATGCTGTTTTTGTTTTTTTTTAGACTTCGTTCATCAAAGACTTCTTTTTTTGTTTCCACAAAAACATTAATAAGCAGCAAAAATGTTTTTTTTTTTTTCTCTCTTTCAAAAACAAACATACAGAGATACTTAACATCAAACAGAACACAAACAAAAATGGGGGATACATATAACAAATATACATCATGGAGGGTAAAACATTACATTTTACAAATAACATTTTTTAATATGAGAGACGTTTGTATACATTTCTTGTTTCTAGTGATTGAAATCAATGAGTCATCTAATATTTTAAGTTCTTTACAAAAAAAACTTAAAAGAGGGAGTAATAGACATTTTTTTTTTTAGCAAAAACGATAATAATAATAAAAAAAAAATCTTGAGTAGAAAATCAGCATATTAGAATGATTTCTGAAGGATCATCATGTCAATGAACTACGACTGGACTTTCCTTGCAAACTTGAGGTTCTTCATGTAAATAAATCAATTTAAGAGCAATTTAACTGGTGTTAACATCCATCTCGGATCCTATCCCACTGCTAAATATGGGCTAATGTGTCTAAAGAAGGTGGTGAGAGACACATATTTAGGGCTCAAACATTTGCGAGTAAAAATAGATGTGTGTGAACTGTAAAATGTGACCCTGGACCACTAGGGTATATTTGTAGCAATAGCCAAAAATACATTGTATGGGTCAAAATTATTGATTTTTCTTCTATGCCAAAAATCATTAGGACATTAAGTAAAGATCATGTTCCATAAAGATATTTAGTAAATTTCCTACTGTAAATATATCAAAACTTAATTTTTGATTAGTAATATACATTGCTAAGAGCTTCATTTGGACAACTTTAAAGGCGATTTTCTCAGTATAGACATAATAAACACACCCGAACAACTGAGAACTGTTTGGAAGCACTAATGATGTATTTTGTTACAGTAACAGAGGAAAGTGTAGGGTCATACTTGAGCGAGTGATTCCTCGCCAGGCTCGGCTGCCGTTCCTGTAGCACCTCAAAGATGTTCGGTTGCCGTAAAAACACTACAATCTTATCATTGTATGCTGGGAAACAAATGGAAAAGAATTCATATCAACTCAACTGTATATACATTGAGTTTCTTTGGTTATGATCATGGTAATTGTGATATTAATGTAAATTTGATTTGATCTGTTAAGGACCCTAAAGAACATGCCAAAGGACTAATTTCACGCTCCCTCCTTGTATCAGGATTTTTTTTAAAGAGTCTCTGGCTTACATTTTTTGTCAAAACAACCATAGATTGGCAAAGTCTGATTCCTTTCTGCAAATCAGTTTTTGAAAAAATCCAAAATTTCAGCCACTGATTAATCACTCAAATGTCTTCACTAAAATATGTTATTATTACGTTGGTTAATATTGCTGTTTATAACTATGCAATGCTATATTGATACATTCAAAATTTATTTGATTAAATACTGCATCCGGACTATACATTTCTACTAAAATCTACTTTTGAACCCATTTCAGAACAAATACATAAATGTAAAGACATCCATTATGATGAAACAGAAATAAACTATTGTTTGGGATTGATAATTAATTTAATGTTTTTGAAAGAAATCTCTTATGCTCACTAAGGCTGCATTTATTTGATAAAATATACAGTAATGCTGTGAAATATTATTACAATTGAAAATAACTGCATTCTATTTGAATATATTCTAAAATATAATTTATTCCTGTTTCAGCATCATTACTCCAGTCTTCAGTGTCACATGATCTTTCAGAAATCATTCTAATATGTTGATTTGCTACTCAAGAAACATTTATTATTATTAATGTTGAAAACAGTTGTGCTGCTTTATTTTTTGTGGAAACTGGGAAACATTTTTCAAGATTAGTTCAATACAACAGCATTTGTTTGAAATTGAATTTTGTAACATTATGCATTACAAATGCCACTTTTAAAGAATTTAACTTTTAACTTATTTTAAATTTTTTTTTAAAACTATTTCAGAACAGAAAAAAAATATATATATATTTTTTTTTCTCTTTTTTTTAGCTACATCGACCAGCCCTAAGTGCAACTATAACTGATCCGTCCGTTATTTGGGAATGGTTCATACCTAATGGCACTGGCTCCTGCTGGCTTTGGTTTCGAATGGCTGCTACCAGGCTGTTTCCAGGCCTGGCTAACAAGGACACCCCTCGGGTGCGCGACACCTCAGATGCCTAGAATTAATGTGGAAATGAATAAATAAATGATGTAACAGTCATTTCTGTATCATTTACGTGAGGAGAAATCAGCACAGTATGAAGTCAAAGGAGACAGATTGTCTCAAGATTATGAGTGTGTCTGACCTCTCCTGCGCTGTAGCTGCGTAATCTCTGCAGGTGCTGGCGGTGCGTCAGGTGGTTGGGCAATCTGCCGTTTTGCAAGGGGATCCTGGGATCAATGAAGGTTGTGGCACGGCTGTTGTGGTCTACAAAGAACGACTGCGGAGAAAAGTGAAGGAGAGACAGTTGAAATAATGGCTTGACGGACACTGAGGTGAGATGTTAGGAAGAGCGTGATGTGAGGTACCTTCCCCTGTGGGCCTGTTTTGATCTCCCAGCCCCGTGGCAGCTCCAGCTGAGCATCAGCAAACCTATTTAAAAAGGCCACCAGGTCACGGTTGTGCTGGTACCGCTCAAAGTTTCGGGCATCACGCCTGATCTTTAGGACCATGTGTTTCAGACACGAGCTGTTTGTGAACATACGATACGCCCCCTGTAAAAAAAAAAAAATGTTAACATGACACTAGCATAAACTTCTTAATTAAAACACGTGCACCACCAATTTTTGGGTCTGCAAGATTTTTTAATGTTTTTCAAAAAAAAATATGCTCACCAAGGCTGCATTTATTTTATCAAAAATACAGTAAAAACAGCAATACTGTGAAATATTATTACCATTTAAAATGACTGTTTTCTATTTGAATATATTATAAAAATTTATTTTATTCCTGTGATGCAAAGCTGAATTTTCAGCATCATAACTCCAGTCTTCAGTGTCACATGATCCTTCAGAAATCAGTCTAATATGCTGATTTGCTGCTCAAGAAACATTTCTTATTATTATCAATGTTGAAAACAGTTGTGCTGCTGTATATTTTTGTGGAAATCGTGATTTTTTTATTTTTGGAAATATTATAAATGCCTTTACTGTCAATTTTGAACAATTCAACGTGTATTAATTTTCTTCTGTAAGAAAAATCTTACTGACCCCAACATTTTGAAAGATGAATGAATAGTGTGTAGTGTGGTGGAAACTCACATAATTTGCGTGGAGAACAGTGAAGAACTCTGGGTGAGTGATGAATTTGACTGCTGGACTCTGCAGCAGTAACGTGATCTTCTGACAGTAACTTGGAGAACCTGAAGAGTCTCTCCTCAACTCTTAAAGACAAAAATATCAATTAAAATAAATAAAAAGAATAAAAATGTTTATTCTTCTGCAAGGTCAAACCTACCACACTGACAAGGCATGTGAGTTCTATGTTAAGTTCCTATTTATCAATAGTACCTATTTATATGAGACGTTCTCACACGTAGGTTTCAAAAGGCATGTTTTTAAGTTACTAATGACTTAAATTTCAGTCGGTAGTCAATTTTCCCCAAAGAAAGCTATGAAATGGCTTTAGAAGACCTGGGCCCGTATTCACAAAACATCTTAAGGCTAAAAATAGCTCATAACTTGCCGATTTAGGAGAAAATCTTAAAAATAAGGGGCGTGTCAATCCTAAATTCAGGACTCCTACATTTTTGCTCTAAGTGTATTTCACAAAGCGTTTTAGCACTAAACCTAGCTCCTAAATCTGTGGAACGTTAGGAGTAGTGAAGAGGACTCCTAAGTCACTAAGACCAAACCACAAACTAGGCCTATCCTCCCTGCTGAAGAAAACAATAGAAACCATCACAGAAATTCTAATAGTTTCCACTACAAATACCATTATAAACATTACAAACCATCAACTTTTAACCATAAAAATCATTAAAAAATGGTTTCCTGTAGTATGTTTTGGGACATGTTCCATTAGTGGTTTTAACAAGCCAACAATAGAAGGCGACCAATTACCAGTAGAGACCAACAGGCACCATTACAGTTACCATTAAAACCAATACAATTCCCATTATAACCAGTAAAACCATTAAAAATACTGTGATGGTTTCTATTGTTTTTTTCAGCCGGGCTAAAATGGCTGTTGCCAGCAATCTGCCTCGGAACATAAACGTTTTAGAAACACACTGCATTTATTTGCACACATATGTTTTCCCAAGCATTTTTTTTTTTGTTGTTGTTGTTTTTTTGT